TTCATGATCAGACAACAAACATGGTGGTCTGAGTTAAAGTCCCTGACAGTTGGGTCCGGGAAGACCCAGGTTCAAGTTCTCACTTGGCCTTGAAGCTGTCTTCCAGGCCAGTCACTGATTCTCAGCCTTATCTACCTGACAGAGTTGTTGTGAAGATAAAACAGAGGAGAGGATTATTGAAGTGACTCTGGATTCTTTGAAGGAAGAATAGTGGTGTAGAAATTGAATAAATAAAATTCACAGCAATGGATCTATTGGCCCTACAACAGGTGGGGTCTACCTCTCACCCCGTCTGGGGCTTCTCCCTTGGGGCAATGAGAAGCATTGCTTACAAGCATCAGCCACTGCAATGTTTGCTAAATGCCACGAGTTGGTCTCATATCTGGCCAAACAGAATTTAATTTTCAAAAATGTTCTGCTTTGGATGAAGAGCAGGGGGTAGGGGGGCAAGATGTGGTCTGTGCTGCCCGTTTTTGCCCCAAAAGTTAAAAAGGAAAATGGGGGGAGTTACTACGTTGTGCCCAAGGGTTAAATTTAGCTTGCAGACAAGCCACATTTAACAATTGTAGCACAGTGGAACAATGTGCAGCCAGGGTGGGGGAGCAAAGGGTGATTCGGGGGCAGGTACCCTGCGGAGTACAGCCTGTGCTGGGGAGCAGGGAGGCAGGAACCAGGAATGCCCCTGGACCTCCAGAGGTTGCCCAGCTCAGCTTTAGAAAAAGCTTCCATGCATGAGCTTGAGCATGTAATTCACCGTGGAGCTCCTCCCCCTAGTTAGGGTGTCCTTTTTAATTGTGCATCTTTGAGGTCTCTAAAATCTGTCTGAAGCTTGATGCTACATGTTACCTCCCTTACAGGGGATGATGGGATGTGCAGGACAGCACGCCTGGCAGATGCCAGGTTGGGGAATGTAGCATTTGGAAACACACTGGGACTGGGTTGTCAAAAACCTACACTCGCTTTTGCCTTCCTTTTGCAAAGCTCCCCTTGGTGAGCAAGGAAAACTGATATGGCAAATTCCTGTTCGCTGTCAGAGAAGTGCAAACTGCTCTTCGAGCGAACACTCATGCCCCGCAGCTGGTTCAGAGGTCTCCTGTAAAGGTGTACTGAGACGGTTGCACCAGCGCTTAGAGGAGTCTGGAATTTGATTTCTTCAGGAGTGCTTGACCATGAAGGTCAAACTGGTGGAAGACTCTTTGGTCTCTTCCAGCCAAAGGTTGCTGTCTGCTCATGATATTCCGAGACTCAGGGCAGGCGCCGTGGGGCTCACTTCAAGCCACGCAGGACAGCCTTGGGTTGTTCTCGCAGACAACGGACGGACACTCATCGAGCTTTGAGTGGGCTACTTCGGGATTCAGGTGGGGCTTACAGGATAAAACGCTTTTGCATATTGAAAGTAAATCCCAGCATGTACACAACTGCTATGTAGAACTTTCTGCCCTAGCATTTACTTTCTAAATGTGGAGCAGGAGAGCATTCCTATGGTAAAAGGTCCCATTCCAGACTTGGGCACCAACTTTCTAGGTGCAGGGAAATCAGACTGTTTTATGCTATTTTTTGGAAGTATTTGCCCTTGTGATGCCTCCTTGCCCCCTACCCCACCTGTAGGGAACAGTCCAGAAATAGCTTTGCCACCTCACTTTCAGTTTGAGAAAACAAAGCCCATAGTCTCTGAATGGTACAGCCTAGCAACAGCTCGGGCCATTCTCATGCTTGTAATAATGCAAGTCAAACTTCAGACACCCTTCTGCCAGCCAGAGTCCCATGGCCAATAGCCATGCTGGCTAGGAATTATGGAAGTTGGCAGCCCAACAAGACTGAAAGGCATTCACTTGGGAAGGTCTGCCATGGGCTTATGTTTTCTTCTTTTGCCTTTGAATAATCCAGGCGTGAATGTATTCAGTTTATTCTGGGCCCTTTGCCTTGGGTACCACTTTGCTTCAAGCCAAAATTCAGGATAGCCACCCCCCACACACACACACACACAAACTCATTCTGTTTTTAGAGAGTGCAGTTCCCTATTTCACACTTTTGCACATTGAGATCTGCTTGATAAGTTTGGAAGAGCTGCTGGTGTGGAGTTAAGAGATCAAGTGCAGTCTTCCCGTGCCACTATCGTCTTCATGAGATGCACTGGAGGCATCCAAGATGCAACTGGACAGCCGTCTGAGAGGGATGGTTGAACTTGGAGTCCTGCACAGAGCAGAGAGTTGGACCCAACGGCCCCCGGGGCCCATCCAGCTCTACTGCTCTGTGATTCTGTGAGTAAGACCATTTGTCCCGCTAACCACCTAAAAAAAATTGTTAAGGTGTTGAGATGATTGTATGTCCCCGCAGCTCATCCTAGACTCTCCCTATGTGGGATAAGAGGGAATTGTAGTGTCCCTTCGCATACACCCTGCAATTTTGCTAGATAGACTTTTTTCCTGTCTAATGAAAGCCCTGGGGGTGAGAGGGTTGGGAAGGCCCCAGGACAGCTCATACCCTGGCCTGTTCCATGTCCCCCCTCCCTGCCCACCAAAGCTTTCACTTCCCTCTGCTCCACAGTTGCATTCCCAACCTCGGACTGCTGGTTGGTTCAGTTCTTTCTCAGAGCTGAGCAGGAGCTGGACTGCCTCTGCCTCTAACCTCAGAAACAGGGATGCAAAGTATCCTGCAGTCCTTCACATGTGGTCTGACGTTGCTAGGATTGTTCCCCAAGACATGTCAAATGTTAACAGCACTTAGATGGAATCAAGTTATTGGGAAGTCCATGATTCAACCAGACTTAAGGATCTCGTTTATTATCCACACTGTTGGAAAGGAAGCTCTGTCTGAATAATGCCATTCTGCACCCTGTGGCTTCCTGTGGGGCTTTGGCATTGCCGGGCCTGCAGTTTAGCAGGGCTTGTTCAGTGTGGCTGCCTTTTTTCCTCCCTGTCCCATCCAGGCCTCCCTTGGGCTGCCTCTTCCCTCTCTTCTCCTCTTTGCTCTGCTGAACTGCTTTGGTGCTGCACAGCAGGTCTTGCTTTGCCTCTGTGATGCTGCGACAGGTTTGCTCTGGGCTTCATCTTTCCTGCATCTTTGCTGAGGCTGAGCAGAGATGAATGAAAGGTGATGGCCAGTGGCCAGTTCCCTTCCCTGTAGGGTGGCCATATATTCTCCTTGGCGATGGACAGTTTTCTGTTTCAAGGGCCACCTGGTCCTAATCTGCTTTAAAGATAAAGGACCATACAAAGGGAAGGCTGAAGGTATGCATCAAAGGCAGACTGATAGGGATAGAAGTGGAAGTTCCTGATCCTGGAAGCTTAAGCAGGATCAGGTGTGGTTAGTTTTTGGATGGGCGAACTGAGTCCTGCATTGAGCAGGGAGATGATGGGTCTGATGGCCTGCTAGTCCCCTTCCAACTGTATGCTTCTGTGGTCACCCATGTTAGGCTCAGATGCCTTCCTGTTTCCCCATTCACAGAAGATCCATTTGCCTAAATTTCAATTTTTCTTACCCTTAAATTGCTGCGGTGGGGGAAGCTGCAGCCTTACCCCCTTTCCTCATTCACATGGAGGTATCTAGACATCTCTTGAGTGTATACTTTTCCAGAGGGGTTAATTTAGTTCTTAGGAAGCCGGAAGCGACCACAGCTCTGAAGTGTGGATGTTCCAAGATCCTTTGCCCCAGACCATAATTGAGCTGCCTCCGGTTGATCTTGATGAATTTGCAATGGCATCCTGGAACTTCATACGGCTAATGCAATAACGTAAAACATGACAGCATCCCTCCTCTTTGCTGTCAGCCTGCTGGTCCCAGGGGTGATGAAAGACGAGCTTGGCAGTTTCAGCTTCTTCTGATAACATCAAGTGTGAACTTCATCCAGTAGCTGCTTCTTTAAGTGTACTGGGTATATGTTGACATAGACCTCTTGAGGAAAATGCCTGTGCTTTTCCTGGCCTAGTTCTCCAAAGTGCTACCTGCGTGGGTAGCAATGTGCTTCTCTTTGATGCTCATTTTCTTCTTGTAACTGGAAGGCTGACTAGTTCAAATGGCCATATGTGCCCCGCAAAAGACAGCATCCCATTGGATCTGATTCCTGCTATACATCTGCCACCTTTTGGAGGACTCAGCCAATGAGGGTGTAGGAACAAGGTAAAGACAATCCTGACCACTCATTGGCCATGTTCCCCCTTCGAACCTGATTGGTTCAGATAACTTTGCTGAGAGTATAAGTATGGCCTTTCTCTGCAAACCAAAAGCTGCGCCTGGAGGCTCAGCCATGTGCCAACGGGGCTAGCCGGAGCTAACGGATGGCACAGTGGCAGTAGGGGCGAGCTTAGGACAGGTGGGTTTTCTGAGCCAAGACAACTTCCCACCTGTGCCCACCAATGGTGCTGGGCCTGATGTTGTGGTATTAATAGGGAACCAGCCCTGGGAACCAGCAGGATCTAGACGTGCAAGGAGGGGATGTGAGAAAGGAGCCCATGATGTGCCATCAGCAGAGAAGGGCTGGACAACTCGAGGGCCTGCATCTCCAGGGGGCACACCCAGATTACTGAAAAGGAAGGTTCTCATAAATCATTCCTAGGTTGGATTCAGCAAACTGCTCTGTTCGTACTCAGTGACTCTTTCTTGGTTGGATATTAGCTTACTGGCTGCAGGCTGGAATGAAAATGCTTGTTGTGGATTTTGTTTAAAACATTTTCCCCCATTCTTCCTGATAAAATGTCTCAGGACAGCTTACAATACTTAAAATAGTAATATAATAGTACAATAATTAAAACAATAAATAACAAGCAAAACATAAATAACAATCAATTCCACAAAACTAAAGAAAAAAAAAGAAAATGTGACTGTAATCTTAAATCTTAAAACATCTAAAATCCTTGATTCTTAAAATGATGGTTGAATAAAAAGGTGGGACAGATGATGCGTCTGTGGTCAAAACTGAAGATGGGGGGAACTCAGCTCATGAAACTGAGGTTTCAGACTGTTCTTTGAAACCTTGGTGGAAAGAGTTCAGTCTTTCCCAGGTCCACATGGCGATGCCCGGAACTGAACCTTGGTTCTTTTTTCTTGGAAGTCTTGATCTGCATTCATTTCTTGCATGCTTGCCTTTCTTGCTCCCAGTATAAACAAGATGGCTCCAATATCACCAGTTACTGCCACGAAACTCTACCAGGATGGGTGCATGACGTGCTGGGTCACAACTGGGCCTGTTTCACAGGACAGAAGATCTCCCCGCCGGGCTCTGGGGTGCGAGTACAGCAGCTGCCTCTTCGGCAGCCCTTTGGAAGGTGGGTCCAAGCAAGTGCTGCTTTTGTTTTGCACAAGGGGAAAGGACTGTTCAGGCGTGTTTTCAAGCATCAGGTTGCTCAAAAGATTGCAAGTTTGCTCGCAACCAGCTCGGTTTCTGGAGATAGATACCATTTCATTCTTGCATCTTGGCTCTGTGCCATCAATGCAGAAAATCCCTGTTTTACAGTGCATGTTCCTTTAGGAAAGGAGACCAGGCATCCTCACATGGGAGGTCCTGAGCTGTGGCCCATGAAGCTCTCTGAGGCTGATGCCCTCCAGCTGTTTTGGAGTACAACTCCCAACAAGACTCCAGTGGCCTTGATGAGAAGAGACTTCTTTCTTTTTTCTGGATCCTGTCCTCTTAGCCCCCGCTGAATTTGCATTAATGGGAGAGAATGTGTCATGGGGCTTATTGAAGCATGAACATGCATCTCCATGAGCCCCAGGAAAAAAAACTCCCCATCCGGGCTGGAAACATCTGAGTCACAGAAGCGCAGTGGTGCATCACTCTGGATATGGAGACCCTTTGGGACTATTGCTCTGGGGAAAAGCTATTTTTGGCAGAGACTGGCTCATACTATAAGCACTGCCTGTTTAATGCATCACCTGAAACACTTCCTTTAAAAAAATGGTGTGTGTCGTGTCATTTGCATCAAGAATCAACATTCTCAATCCTTTCAGAAGGCTAGTTCTAAGTAAGTTGTGCTCTGTGCAAACTTGCATTTCAGGAAAGGGACCGTAGCTCAGTGCAGGCAGAAGGTTCAAGGGCAGCTCCTAGCATTTCCGGTGAAGTGATCTTTGGTATGTGACTAGCAAACACTTCTGTTTTCCTGAAGTTTTGGAAGGCTGTTCATCAGTCAAGAAGAGGACGGTGATGACATTGCATTTATAGACAGAACTGCAGTGTAGCAGTAGATAGGGTGGCACCCCTGAGCCCCAGGTCGTGGTTGGACACCTCGTTTTTACTGAGGTGCCCTCCCTCGCTCATTTACTGCTGTTACCAATGTGATCATTATTCTTTCAAAGAACAACATACTTTACTAGCAGCTGCAGTCAGTTCAAAACAAAGTGAAGCGCTGTTGCTGCTTCCATCTCCTGTTCCCCTGAAGGTGTCTGGATCACCCGTGGGTGCTGAGATGTCCTTAGGAAATGGAGATAGCAGGTTCTAATGATTTCCTCAATGGCGTGTCCATTTTGGGATAGTGCTCAAAGCAGTTTCTCCTGCTGCCAAAAAGGAAAAAAAATATTGCCTATTCCTGCTGTACTCTGGCTGGGGATGATGGGACTTGTAACTCAATAAACCCAGAGGACACCATGTTTGGGAAAGTTGCTTAAATATCAACCATGCAGGCTCTCTTGGCTACTCCGCCTACTGAAATGAAACCCCATGGCATGCTGCTTTACATCTTCCAATAAGTTAAGGACTCCCAGGGATTCTCTCAGTTGATGCCTGTATGCTACCTATGAAGCCTTTTAGAGGAATTTGGGGGTGGGGGAGAAATTATGGAAATTTTGTGCAGCTGGGATGAGCTCTAACCCTGAATTAAGCAATTTGCACCCATCAGAAGCTTTTCTCCTTGATATCTTGGCAGCAGACCTCCGCAGAAGCTCTACGAAACCAACGACGACTTTGTGAGAGCCATCAACTCTGTTCAGAAATCGTGGAGGGCAAAAACCTACAAGGAATATGAAGGCCTTACCCTAGAAGATCTCATCCGGAGAGCTGGAGGGTTACATTCCAGGATTCCCAGGTACAAGGCTATGGTAGCTTTTGTGGGAGTTCCTTGAGCAGCATCAAGCTGTGGATAGGCTGCAACTGCTTCAGACAGCAAGCATGAGCCCACCGTGTGACCAGATACTCAGTGTGGTGTAGTCATTAGAACTTCCTGGGTGACTTTGAGCCAGTCACTTAGCCTCACCCAAGCCTACCTTGCAGGGTTGTTGTGAGGATACAATAAAACCGAGGACAACCTTGCAAGCCACCTTTCCCTCTAGGCCGGAGGGCTTTTGAGGGGGCATGAGACAGAGGCAGCCTTCTTAACCTGGCACCCTGCAGATAGATGCTGGCTGAAGATGATAGAAGCTGGGTACCAGGTTGGAGAAGCCTGGACTAAGAGATGCTGGATAATGTCCCCCAGTGGCTACGAGCCATGAATGTGGCTGCCTGGGATGTTCCAGTGTTCAGGGCAATAAGCCTTTGAATACTTCACTTGCTGTGATGTGGGACTATTGAACCTTCTCAGCCTGGGGCCACATTTGCAGGGAGGGTAGGTGGGGCTGAAGGAGTGATGCAAAAATTTCAGCATGTGCAAGCTTAAGATTCTTACTCCCTTAGGACAGCAGGTCAACTTAGCTTTTAAGAAAAGAGCAGAAAACCAGAGTAACTGGCAAAGGGTTGTGGGGAAGAGATGGGACCATAGGAAGAGGGAGTAGCCTTCTACAGAGGGCCAAATTTGGCCTCTGGGCATGAAGTCGTACAGCCCCAATGGGAAAGGACTGTTGCCTTCCTAGATTGGTTGCAGGCTTCCCAGACACATCTAGTTGGATCGTGAGATGGACAAGGTGACCCTTGGGCTTGATTTGGGTCGACTATCAGGCTGTTCTTCCTTGTTTGTCCTCTACCTCAACAAGAATGGCAGATCACCAGATGTCTGTCCGTCCGTCCGTCCATCCATCCAATTTGTATCTTGCCTTTCTCTCATTGTGGAACTGAAGGCGGCTACATGCAGTTCCCAAGCGGTCTCCCCTCCAACCACAGGCCTGACCCAGCCCTGCTTAGCTTTACCATTACAGATGTCTTAAGTGCCTTCAGACCATACTCTGGGCACATTCTGAAAATAATAAATTATTATTTGCAAAATAACTATTTAAAATACTCTGCTCCTCAGCCATAAACGCCCCCAGCAAAACAAGACATTCTCTGCCCATGGGCTTGCAATCTAAAAGGACACAACGCAAGGGAAAAGGACCAAGAAGAGATGAGGGGTGAGAAACTGGAGAGCTCCCTTCTCCACCTCATCACTGAAAGATGCCCCGCGGCAGTGGCTGGTGGTGGGGAGAGCTGAGCAAGGAACGGGGCAGGACGGGTGTCTTGAGAGACATGCACTCTTGGGTTACTAAAGCTGCCAGGTCTGCCCTCTGCTCTTTTGGGCCCACTGCATCTGTGCCCATCTTCGGGGGTTGTCCTGGATGGTGCCATTGCCCTGGCAGAGAAGGCCTGAAGTCTTCGTCTTTGGCATTCCTGCAGCAGAATGCAGAAAGATTTTTGCAGGCTGTAAATTGCACACTGTGTCCCCAATGGGGAGTATTCATTGAAGAACGACATGACTTCTTTGGAGGAAATGAGACAGTGTGGTGAGGCTCATCCAATACAAAATAAATCTGCTTGCAGATGGCAGATTTTAGCCCAAGGCCCGGGGAAAAGCAGTTTAACTATCAGTAAAAAGGCATGGACAATCCTCGGTCCACACCAGCTCATAAACTGCTGTTTACTTTCCCCCTGAAATGACTATAAAGTAGCTGCTTTAAAGTCAGTGTGACTGGCACATGATGTATCATCTTTCACGGCCCACAGTTGAATTGTATCCATTGCCAGAGGCAGGTTTATGACAAAGAGCAGAGAGAAACCTGAATCTGTACATAGTTGCACACTCAAATCTGATGCTACGAAGTAGCACAGGAACCTGGCATCCTGTGCACTGAAGCACATTTTGCTCTGGTTTAGTTAAGGCATTCTAACTTTAGCCTCAGAAATTGGCAGTTTTACAGGAAACGGCCCTGCACGGGTAACACTGTCCCTCAGTGTTTGCTGTGGCTCCATCTTTCCTAACAAGACCCATCTGCCCCCAGCACAGGGGCGCCTGTAGGGAGCTGAGCACACAGAAACAGCATCTTCTGCTCTCCTAGCAGCATTCAGAGGCTGATCCAACATTGTTGTGCTAAGCAGAAGTCACAGAGCTAATGAGAAGCTGCAGGAGAGTTCCACTGCCCATCTGGCCAGGTGCCCTCACTAAGCCTCCAAGCAAGCCATCTCAGCTTTTCCACCTGCCATATCAGAAACAACATTATTCCATAGTGATGATGAAATACAGCTTTACCAGTGGTCCCTGGGTTATGAACATCTGCACTTGCAAACCCAGAAGTTGGGTGGATAACCTGGAAGGAGAGACCATTCAAGCTGTCTTACATTCCTTGCACGAAGAAATTGATGGGATGTAAATAAGGTGAACTGGGAACAGACCTGCCATGCAGCATACAGCTGCAGCAATGCTGAACAGAAACAGAAAGCTAAGCTCCTGAGAACTGTCTGGCACTCCTGCTATGGGAAGCCAAGAGGACCACTATACTGGAGTGTTTTTTTTCGCAATGCTGGCCGAAGTTCACTGTTAGACTCCCTTGAAAGTCATTGCTAGTGGTTAGAGTGTTGACCTTGGACTCTGGAGATCCAGGTCTACTCCCTGCTCAGCCAAAGTCTCTGGGTGACATTGGGTCAGTCAGGGACTCTCAGGCTAACCTACCTCACTGGGCTGTTGTGAGGATCAAATGGAGGGAAGGAGATTTTTGTAAGCTACTTTGTATTCCTTGGAGAAAATAAGTCAAGATATAAATATAATAATGGATTTGCTTTTTGAAATGCTGCCAAATATTTGGTGGCGATCGCAAGGGTTTCAAGTCTTTGGTTTCTTCATCTTGAGTAACCTGAAATTCTGACATGCTGGAGCTGGACCAGGGCAGGACTCATCTATGGCAGAAACTTTGGGTTACGGGGCAGCATAGAAATTGAATTAAATAATAAATATGAGTGGCGATGGCAGGAAAGGAAATTTTGGCTAACCATTAGGAGAAAGCTCCTACTGGCAAGTTACTTAGCACTGGCACAATCTGCTTGAGGAAATGGTGGCCTCTCCTTCACTGGAGGTAGTTAGCATTTACTCCTCAGCCTGGTGTGACCTGCCATCTTAATTCTCCAAGAATCAGGACCAACTTCTTGATTCATAAACTTCCATGAAAAGAGATGTTGGGAACACCTGGGGCTCTTTTTGCTTTGCAGCAAGCCCAGATGCAAGTAAGATCTGTTTTTAAAAAAATACAGAGGGTACCTGAGTCTGCATCTGAATCTATTTTGACACCCACAAGTGTTATGTTGCCTGCACTTGGCTTATTTGCTGCCCAATCCCTTCCAGAATCCCCCTATGAATCTGTCCTTTGGTGCCCTTAAAAATAGCCACCTCTTACCTTTTTGGCAAGATGTAGTCCCCAGGAGGGAATCTGTAATGGCCATTTTCTTGTTGGAAAAGAAAGGATTAACCAGCAGGAATGGATGCCTTCCTGTTTGTGGACAAACAAGATAGGTGCCATGACCTCCATAACCTCGTTATTCAGACGTCCCTGTTCCTTGTGCTGCTTAAAATGTGAGTTGCTGTTATCAAATAGTAGATTCCAGTGCACAAACTACACAGAGTTTTGTTTGTTTCTTGTAGTAGGCCAAAGCCTGCTCCTTTGACTGCTGAAGTAATCAAAGAAGCTTCTTCTCTGCCAGAATCCTGGGACTGGAGAAAGGTGAATGGTGTTAATTATGTCAGCCCAGTACGAAATCAAGGTAGGATGCACTGTTTGCAAACTCTTTTCAGTGAAATGTTTTGGAAAGTGTGTGTGTGTGTGTGTAGGGGCAGTTTTACTGGTACATGGAATCTGCCGCCCTTCTTGGCTCACTGCCTGAAGCAGTGGATTCACCCCACCTTATGGGAGGGCCAGCCATGCGTGGGGAACAGCATGTGCTGGATGGGAGAAGCAATTCTATATTTTGAGCAAGCATTTGCGAATAAGATCGAATGGGTGGTGTGTGCTTTCCTTGCTTCCGTTTTTGCTTCAAAGGAGAGAGAAGTCGCCGTACTTCCTGTCCACCCACATCTGCTCTGACACAACAAGAGGTGATTTGGCTTCTTAATGCCTCTCTGCAATTGCAGCGCCCTTTCTTTTGTATCCTGGGCAAGCTACATGGAATTAAACTGCCTCCAGGCAGCAGGTCGCCTTCTTGTTCCGCAGCTGTGCTAATTTTGCTTTCAGAAGTGCTTGCTTTAGCTACAGAAAAGTGGTGGTAAATGAAGAGGGACCAACAGATGTTTGTGCTCCGAAGATGTCAAAAGAGGGGTAGTACACACTTGTGTAGTTAAGTAGTTGACACTGAAATGTCATTAACTCTGAAAACCAAGAAAAAAATGCAGGCTGCTAAGGCGTTAATAGCAAAAAAAAAAAAAAAAAAAGTGTGCAAGAGCAAGAGAAAGAAAAAGAGAGGGAAGGAGAAAGCCCAGTGATCCAATCGTCAGAATGATGCAGCCTTTTAAAGCAGGTTCAGAACATGTTTCATCCTTAGGGCTGAGTCCCATTTTGAAGAAGCTTTTGGGAGCAGCGTTCCATTGTCGGGAGGAGCCAAAAGTAAAATATAACGTGGATCTTCCAAATCCTGGTCCAGCGCTCTTAACCATTACACCACACTGCCTTTCTATTTGGGGTTTTACTTTTATTTTATACTCTGGTTTTAAACTTTTATACCGTATCTTACATTGTAAATTATGGTTTTCATTGTTTTGAATCACCCGGATCACTTCAGCTATCAAGCAGTGTAGAAATGTAGCATCCCCATTAGAAAGCACAGCTTCTTTTTTGCATTTCAAACAAAAAGAACGAATCTTATACCTCCATGGGGTCACATTTTGAGATCAGATATGGAAGGCCAGACTGCAAGGTGCCTGCTCCGGGGAGGGACTGCTGTTTGGATTAGGGGCCTCCCAGCTGGAAGGAGCCAAGCCTTGACTCCTATCACAGCACAATTCATCTTTCCAAGGATGCATAACTCTTCCATGCCCAAATGATCCCCGCTCACTCAAGGGCACAGGGATGTGTTCCCATCACAGGTTTCTGGCAACAAGACAGGACTGGACCCAGTGATGCAGGGAAGTTCTGCTCAGCCTCCCTTTGGGCTGAGAAACCTCCATCTTTAAGGTTAATGGAGCCTCTTCGTCTAGCCAACCAGCTTCTTCTGCCATTATTTTGGGTACCTTTGAGAGTAGATCAAGAGGTTTAAAGCATTTAAACTGTTAAATACCCTCCATGGCACTGAGCTGTCCTTTGAAGGTGCTAGAAACTGTTGCAGTGAGACTGAACTGTAATTTGACTTAGATAAAATTGAGACTTGTATACTTAGTGGAAAAATGTCCAGATCAGTATGTGTTTCATCAGGCTCTGCTGTCAGAAATCAAGTTGCTCTTTTCTTGCCCTCTCTCCTTTCAAGCAGTTCAAGCTAAGAAGCTTCCCAGTACAGCTTTTGTTGTGTTGAAACTAGCCAGTTCGGCTGCCTTTGTGATACAATGAGAGTATTAGAAGTCATCACCAAAGATACCAGCAAAGTTAGCATACCAGCCATTAGGAAAATGCAGCTTATGCTAAGAAGTTGGTTCAAAACTGGATTCCTCCCCTTTGCTCTCAACTGAAAGGGATTAGCACCACCCTCAGGGTGATTCCTGCTGAGAATGTGGGATGCTGCTCCATTGATTTGCTCTTACAATTTGACACTAGATAATAAGATGTGTTACATCTGCCTCCCTCTGGCTCCACTGCATTTTCTACCAAACCAGATGTGGTCTAACTCTCACCAGCCTCCTTGCTAATCTCTGCATCTCTTAACCTTAGCATTTCTGCCACCAAGTCTGACCTTCTCTCATCTTCCAGTTCGGATTCCAACGCTGAGATAACAAGCTGGAAGGCTTGAATTTTAGGAGAACTGGGGCTCATTTTCTTATCTACCTCACTCCCCAAACACAAAAAAGCCCTCCCAAATGCCTTCCTTTCGCATTAGCTGCCACATCACGAAGCTCACAGCATACAGCTGTGTCCCAGCCTAAGTGTGCCAAGCATTGTGTGACTGACAGAACTTGTTTGCTCTTACCCTCAGCTTCCTGTGGCAGCTGCTATGCATTTGCTTCAATGGGCATGCTGGAAGCCCGGATTCGTATCCTCACCAATAATTCTCAGACTCCAATACTGAGTCCACAGCAGGTTGTTTCCTGCAGCCAGTACGCTCAAGGTAAGCAGCCTACACCTCTCTTCATTTTTGAACCAGAAGTCATGTCCTGAGCTGAGCAAAGGCTAGTGGTGTTAGTTCCGCACACCGACTCACTTTGCCACAGTCCAGACGCACTGCCAGACATGTTCTCTTTCTTTTGTTGAGTCTTAATTCCCGTGCAAGAAGGAGCCTGCTTTGACTGATCAGTGCAAAAGAGCTGCCAGAGCTTTTCTTGCTTGCACAGGTGGGAAGATCAGGTTAAAAGTCCTCCTGCATCTCAGAGAGGTCCTGGCCTGCATAGTGTGCTGGACTGAGAGCATTTGGTTGCTGAATTGGGCCTCAAAGACTTCGAGCTGCTGATCCCAGCAGTAGACTACAAAACTATAAGCTTGGCTGGCCAGCCCCTGGTCCTGCATCGAGCTACTGGGCAGCTTTTCTCACTGTTGGAAGGCCAGGTGTGTGCTAGGGGTAGTGTCAGCATCCAGGGCATGGGCAGGTGACCAGCAGACAGGAGCAGCAGGACCCAGGCAACCAGGTTAGGACACAAGGGTCAGTCCAAAAGCACAGTTAAGCAGTCCAAAGGACGGAGTTGGGAGTTGAAGTGCAAGGCAGAGTCCATTCCAGAGGCAAGCGAGTCAGACAAGCCGGGAGTCAGGGAACCACGAAGACAAGCCAAAGGAAACAGGTACCTTGAAGGCTGGAGCAAGCGAGGGCCAGGAAAACAGGCAGGATCGAGGAGCAGGCAGAGGACCGTGAGTAGGGTCATGGGCAGCATCCCAGGAGCCCTTCAGCAACTCAAGAGGCCTTTGCTGCCAAGGCAGCCTCTGAGGGGAAGAGCTAGTTCTTATACAGCGCTTCCCCCAGGGCTCTCAGGTGGAGCCCATGAGAGCCCGGGCAGCTGCAGGAGATCGGGGTAGTAATCCTGCAACTGCCAGAGCTGCCATGCTGGTGCTTGGTCAGCAGAGGGAGCCCTGAAGCTGGCTTGGGTCTTGACAGGTATTTAAATGCAGCTGTTTTCTGCCACTGCACATCTGCCGAGGCTGGTTTAAATGGAGGCTGAACTTGTATCCCTTGGCAACAAAATGGAAACCTCTCCAGCTGATGTCCAATCACGGGAGGCCCAAGTTTTCCTTGCTCTCTGCCGCCCCGAGTTTGAGTCCAACTTCAAGGGAGACATAATATGAGATTTGGTCATTCAAGCGATGGGTTGACCTGCTCTCCATATGACCACAGCTCACATAGATTTCGGCTCCCGAGGATCTTGCAATGTGAAAATAAAGAAGGGGAGGGAGAATCGAACGTCGGGGGCACAAAATGTGGAGTGTCGAACTCCATCTTTCCAAGCATTCGCAGGCATCCTCTTGTGCTCAGTGCAGTGAACTGAGCCGAAAGGAAGTCTGTGCATGCTTGCAGATGGCCACCAGTCCACTCATGCATCCAGCAGCCCTCTTCCACATCAGCCCCAGAGGAGGGTCACTGCCTGCCCAGCGGTAGCACAGGTCCTGGTGAGCCCCCATTTGGTGCCAGCCGCGGTGCTCAAATAGCAGCTGAGAGGGGCTCTGGCTGCACAGCACGGAGGGCCCAGTTCCTGGAAGGCAAACTCTGGGCTGCTGTAAAGCAGCATGGAGGCCGGGAAGCCAAGCTCAAGGAATCCAGTGGATTCCTACCCCCAGAGAGACTCCTCATGTGTCCCCAGTTATGCCCGTACCATTCTGTGCCCTTCTTCGATGTGAGGTCTGTGTGCTTTCACCCATTCCCATTCCCATGAGATAATCATGCCCCCTGGAGAAACCTTGGGTTAACTTTCCAGTTCATTCTTTCTTTCTTTTCAGGTTGTGATGGCGGATTCCCTTACCTCATTGCTGGAAAATACACTCAGGATTTTGGTGTGGTTGAGGAGTCATGTTTCCCTTATACAGGCACTGATTCTCCTTGCACTTTAAAGCATGGCTGTTATCACTACTACTCCTCCGAGTACTACTATGTTGGGGGATTTTATGGAGGGTGCAACGAAGCCCTGATGAAACTCGAACTGATCAAGCATGGCCCCATGGCGGTGGCTTTTGAAGTGTATAGTGACTTCATGCACTACAGAGGAGGCATCTACCACCATACCGGGCTGATGGATCCTTTCAACCCCTTTGAACTGACCAATCATGCTGTCTTACTCGTGGGTTACGGCAGTGATCAGGTTACTGGTGAGCCATTTTGGATAGTGAAGAACAGCTGGGGAGAATCCTGGGGAGAAGAGGGTTACTTCAGGATCCGTAGAGGCACTGACGAATGTGCGATCGAAAGCATTGCGGTGGCTTCCATTCCAATTCCACGAGTGTAGCCCTGGTGGAATTTAGGCAACACCCTCTCAGGAATCCACAGTGTTCTCATACACACGTCCTGAATTCTAGTAGGGAATATTACTGTCTTGCTTCTACAGCTTAAAAGAATGAGCTTTAATAAAAGCATCCAGGGAAAAGTAAGCATATATTTGTATTGCTCAAAGGATTTTAAAATGAGGGTCTTGGTAGGTAGAAGACTGAGGCTTGGCACACCTGAGTTCAGTAGCTGCTCACCTGGGAAGTTTTCTGGGTGACCTTGGCCAGCCCAAAGGATTCAGCTAAACTATGGTCAAGATAGTGTTGCTGTGGTTTTGTGTGACTGGCTGACAAGTTGGAATTAGAAGCCATGGCTTGTAAGGTATCTGTAATGTAATGTAATGATGCCTGAACTGACAAGCAGCAGTGACGGGCTTATCCGCTGGAGGCTGCTGTGCCATCAAAGGGGAATCCTGAACAGGGAGGAAATACAGCAGCTTGATCATGTGCTTGGAAGTTCATCACATGGTATGGGTTGCAAACCATGGTTTCTGCCAACAACAGTTTAATGTGCTTGAGCTGAGCCTATCTTTTAGCCTAACCTAGCAGGTTTCTTAGGATTAAATGGAATACTCTCATGAATGTCATTTTGCGCTGCTTGGAGGAAGGATATGATACCAAGTAATTTTGATGTTTACAATCTTAACTGTAAATTCTTCAGAAGTGACCTTTTTTAAAAACTGTGGATGGTCAATGCATTGTTTGCCATTATGTCTTTCCTCACTGAACAGACTTTTTATACTTATGCCAAAAACATTTCTTAAATCTGTTACTTGATTTGATTTTTAATGCAGTGCCTTATAGGAAGTATGAAGAAATTTGAATGTAGAAGATACATGTAAATGCGTAACACATGATAATATTATGCGGTGATTTTTTTAAAGGGAAGCTCCAATGTTTTTCTTTAGCAAAACATTATGTCAAGATTCATGTTTAGTGGCACGCTTATTATTCTGCACTTGTCTTGCTTCATTTGGTTTTTAATTTTGGACTTAATTCTGAAATAAAGAGGTCCTCAGCTGTTGCTGAGGAAGTTCTTCAGCCATGTTGTTGTTGCTCCGTCTTTGAAAACAAAATGGTCAGCTGGAGAGATCCTTACCTTGCAGTGGACTTGTAGATTGTTCCTTTTAGTGGGCCTGCTACACTTCAGTGAGCAATCCAGTTGGGATGCCTGGAAGTCTCCGAACTTGAGGAGAAGGCAGGAGGAGGAAGGAGCCCGGGATAGGAGGAGCAGGGTGGGAGGACCACCAAGGTGAATTCAACCTACCCAGTCAAGACCGCCCATTTTGTCCATCCAGCTGTGGCATTTCAGAAGGGGAGAGAAGGAGGTTGGAGCAGCACTGGGACACACTGGACCCAGTCTCTTCCATGTCTCCAAAATACCGCCTTGATCCTTTTACTGTGGGCAGTCTGGTGGCCTTGGAGAAGCAGGCCGTATGGTTCTCATGCCAGCTGTGTGTGGTGGAGAACGGGATCCAAGTACAGAGCTCTGTTTCTAACCTCGGATTTGGGAATCCAAGGATTCTTCTGGCTCCCAAGATGTGTAGGGCTCATAGTATCCCTCTGCCCAGGTTATTATCATTGCCTCTCTAGATCAGTGCAAGGGCCCACAATGCATCTCTAGTGAAGCTGTCCCAGGGGAATTTGCAAGCAATGTGGGTAGAAATGGCCATTTTGTGTGTATTTCTCTGCCAACTGCCCATCTGAGGTGCTGTTGTCATTGTTGCTGCTACTTACTACATTTGAGAACAAGTTTAAAGCATGTAAAAGTAAAATGGATGATCTCAGAATAATAAAATCAAATACAACAGAACTTAACAGAACCCGGATATCCATTCCCTCCCTTGCCCCAACATTGCTTGCTTGCTACTTGCAAAGTCACATCCAACCCATCGCGACCCCATGGACAACATTCCTCCAGGCCTTCCTGTCCTCCACTATCCCCCGGAGTCCACCTAAGTTCACGCCAACTGCTTCAGTGGCTCCATCCAGCCACCACAACCTCTGCCGTCCCCTTATTCTTTTGCCATCTATTGTTCCCAGCATCAGGGTCTTCTCCAGGGAGTCCTTCCTTCTCATTAGGTGCCCAAAGTATTTGAGTTTCATCTTCAGGATCTGGCCTTCTAAAGAGCAGTCAGGGCTGATCTCCTCTAGGACTGACCGGTTTGATCTCCTTGCAGTCCAGGGGACTCGCAGGAGTCTCCTCCAGCTCCACAATTCAAAGGCTTCAATTCTTTGTCACTCAGCTTTCCTTATGGTCCAACTTTCACAGCCATACATTGCAACTGGGAAGACCATAGCCTTGACTATACAAATTTCTGTCAGCAGTGTGATGTGAAGGAAATGGCAACCTACTCCTGTACCCTTGCCATGAAAACCCCATGGACTGTTCTAAAGGGCAAAACGATATGATGCCAGAAGATGACCCCCAACATACACACAAAGAAAAAATCCTGGGACTTGATCCTGCACCAAACCGGCCCGCAAACTGGCAATGCCCCCTGGCAGCCACCCAAGACTGCTGCCCAGTGCCATTGCCCTGGGTGCTGGGCCCTTCAGCAGGTGTCAGTGCGGTATGCCCCCCCCCAGTGGCTTGGGGGGGTCTGTAATGGCCACTGGTAGGGGGAGTGAACATTACCTGCACCATCCTGCTTGCATCAGCAGCTTCAGTTGCTTTCAGTCACATGTTACAACTGTGTGGCTAGTGCTGTTGGTGAAATTAGCCAATTTATTTAACTCGTTATGCTTCTGTACTGCCCTATAGCTGACGCTCCCTGCTAATCCCCCAAACAAGCCTTAAAGCCATAAAATTCAGTAGCATGCTAAAACATAATATAAAAGCATTTAAAAAGCTCTAAAACACGGCAATAAAACTAGAATTAAACACACACGCAAAGTATAAAGGAGAAAGGCAGCACCAAATAATGGGCATGGAATGGGAAACTTTGCTAGGTGTTATGTTCATTGGCACTGGACACCCTCATCTTCTTTGATGCTCTTAGGCAAACTGAGAAGCAAGACTAATGGGGCTTAGTTTGAACTGATCTATCACATCTGTGCCTGCATGGCTGGTGTTCATTAGCCCAGAGTGGAAAATTCAGTTGCTGCCAGGAACACATGGCGTGGTTTCTATGGCTTCTCAAGTGGTTCCCGTGAGGAACTGCCCTTCTTTCCTATGGCCTGTGTTTTAGGTGCCCCTTTACCGCCAGGGAAGGGGAATGCTTCTCAATTCAAGCCCAGATACTGTCCGTGCATTTCTGGCTTCTGATAAGACGTCAGCTCCGTTGTTCAGCATTAGACTCTCTCCATTGCTGACATAGTCCAGGGGTGCTAGAAGGGAGTGTAAAATCTACATCGTTGGAACAGGAACCTGTTTGGGAACCAGGACTCTGTTTTTCTAGGGTAAGGCTTTGCCCGTCTCCTCCCTATTCCAGCAATTAAGCAGGCCCAGCATGTTGTGATGTGCAAGAAACAAGAGTTGCGAAGTTGCTATGCCCCCATTTTGCCGCAGAGGTACCCCATCACAGTTGCGAAATGGTACTGCATGAATTACATTACCTTCTCCCAAAAGGAAGCCTCTATTGCGCATTGCCAAAATACGTGGAGAAGAGAAGCATTAGAAGTATTGCACTTTTATCGACTGGCCCATTTAATGAAGCCCTTATCAAAGAGACGGTGTGCCATCCTGTATATTTGAAACATCCATTCTGGCTGAATTAAACATATATTGGCACTTGTAAGGAATCTGGCTGTGCTTCCCAATGTTTTGTATTCTTTGGGAACTGTCTGCCAATTTAATACCTGACTGCACTTAAAAGTGTTGTTTTAGCTCTCTCTGGCTTACACAGCCTAAGATCACTGGGAGAGCATCCAAGGAACCATGGAACTGTTTGGACTCCAATTTCCCCTTCTGCAATTGGAGACCATGCTGGCATTTTGAAAGGAAGTTAGCACTGAAACACCTTGCATCTGGTGGTACAGCATTATCTCGTGAAGTACAAAGCTCAACATGGGATGCCTCTAAGGGGAGTTTAAAATGCAAGCAGCCCTGTTGGTCGAACTAGTCCTAGAGTGTGCGTGTTCACCAGAAACAGGTCTTGATAAGGCTACTGTGTCTAAAAAAGCAGTCCTGTGGTTGCTGGGCGAACATCAGAAAGGATAGGATTCTCTGGATTCCTTCTTCTGAGGTTGGAAACAGCACTCCAACCTTGGAAGGGGGAGTTGGTGATCTGACACCTGCTCACAGCTGGGGCAGAAAAACTGCCAGCAACCTCCAAGGTCAGGAAAGCAACCTTGGAAAAGGAGGAAAGGAAACAAAGAAACAGAGCAAGTCAGAAGGGGCCTCCCAGGCCATCTAGTCTGACCCCCGGCTCCAGCCGGCTCCGCTCATGACATGCCCACCATGTGCATGTCCAGCCTGTCCTTGAACACCCTCACCGATGGGGCCTCAACCACCTCCCGTGGAAGCCCATTCCATACCCTAACCATCAGAAAGTACTTCCTGGCATCCAAATTGAACCTTGATCCCTTGAGCTTGGCTCCATTGCAGTGTGTCCTGCCTTCCTCTGCAGGGGGGAACAGGTCTTTACCCATCAACTCCGTGTGACACCCCCTCATGTACCTGTATGTCGCCAACATATCCCCTCTGAGTCTCCCCTTCTCCAGGCTGAAGAGACCCAGTTCCCTCAGTCTCACCTCATACAGCATCCCCTGCAAACCGGTCACCATCCCTGTGACCCTACACTGCACTGACTCTAACCTGGCTATATCCTTCCTGAAATGTGAGGCCCAGAATTGAACACAATACTCCAGTTGTGGGCGCACCAGAGTTGTCTAGAGTGGTAGCAATACCTCTCTTGATCTAGAAGCCACGCTTCTGGCTATGCAACCAAGGGTGGCGTTCGCCCTCTTGACCACCGCATCACACTGCTGACTCATGTTTAGCCTGCAGTCAACCAGCACTCTGAGATCCCTTCCACAAGTGCTGCTCTCCAGCCACTTGTCTCCTAACCCTAAAAGGATGCTCTGGTTGGCGGGAGGAAAGGAGCTGGCAAGGCCCAAAGGTGAGAGATGCTGCCTCCTTGTCTCCTCCCCTCGCACTCTAAACTGTTCTCATAAGAAACACTGAGAACCCATCTAGCGAAAAGCACCAGGTGACATAGAGAGGTGAAGATCACTTCTGCTGCCCGTTTTCATGCTCCAGGCTTTCAAGCAGCAAGAATACACAGTGCCCTTTGTGGCTGATAAGTAAGATCCTTTGAGAGTACATCTTAATTGTCCATTGTGTCTACTGTGAAGGAATCGGAGAAGGCTTTGTTGATATAACATAGACAAATGGTTGGATTGCTCCATTGAAAGCTCACTCTTGAACAGTGAGGCAAGGGGCAAGCGATGAAGCAAGGAAGGCGACAATGTTCTCCATCACGACACATTCTTCTTCAGTGTTTCTTTCATTCCTGTAGTGCCCAGTGGCCAAAGGTCTCTGGTCAGTTCACAGCAGTGCGTTGAAACCACAAATCTGGATAAAAAGAGACCACAAAAACTTTCAATGTATAGTATCTAAAGCAGACCAAAGCAATGAAAACAAGTTCAGTTTTAAAAAAACAAACAAACGAGACATCCTAAAAGGACAGCTGACATAAATGGCGCACCATGTGCTATTAAGTATCATTAAATGCCTGGGAACTGAGTGCCGTCCTAAAGAGGGCTGTGTGGGCACGAAGTGGGCCTTGGTGGGGGATTATTCCATAATCAGGAGGCTACCACTAAGAAGGCCCTCACCTGTGCTGCCACCCTCCCAGCCTCCCTCAGCAGCAGCGGCACCCCAAGGAAGACAAGGGAGGTTGATCATCGTGTCTGAGTGGATTCAGGTCGGGAGAGGTGTTGGGTATTGTGATCCCAAGCCTTGTAAGGCTTTAAAAGCAAAAGCCAGCACCTTTAACATCTAAAACCAGCACTAGATACGGGACACATCCTCAGACTCTAGAATAGAGGGGCTGCTTGTGAATTGGCAAAAAGAGACCTCATCCATAACCAAAGAAGAGG